TGAGTATTTGTCTCCTTCGGAGCCTAACTCCCTCATAGTTCATTTCACAACGTCTTCTGCGGCTCTCAAAAGCGATAAATTCATTACTCTTAAGCTCTAATAATACAAATCAATCATGCGCACGTGTATCCTGGTATCTATTGCAGCTATACTATATGCTAGCTACAACCCCGTCGTCAATGCAACTGCGAGCGTACGCCACATCAAGAGCAAAGATTCTGACGCTTCCTCACTGGCTTTGCGAGCCGGTGATACGACTAACAAAGAACAAGATAATGGAGAGGACAGAGTGGGTGGGACTACTATCGCCATGTGGGCTCATAACTTCGATCGTGAGAATATGTAGTCTCTACTGGTAGAAATACACGCGAGGGGAGTCGGCAGACTCCCTGGAAATATAGCCGTAGTCTATTACTTGGTAAAAAGACAAGTGAGTAGTTCTATTCTACTCGTAGCTGGGGCGTCATGTGCTTGGCCCAAGCTGTACTTGGTTGGCTGCTGTTGGTGTCAACTAATTTGTCGATACATGTCATCACTGTTGCCGTTATAATCACCTGAGTGTTCACCTGCTGCGTTAGGACAGTGAAGCCGGGCTCTGGATAGTTTGTATACACAAGACCGGCCAGTTATCGTCGCTACAGCTATCTTGGCAAGGCTGAGGTTACATGCTCTACCGAATGCCAAAATTGTGCGCCAGATAGAAAAAAGGCAGATCGATGATCCATATTCTCGATAAGATGGGTGTTCCTTACAAAGTGGTGAATGGACAGAGGGTCTACACGAAGTACGACAAAGGTTGCCAGTTATACTTGAAGTGGCACAAGCCACACCGCGACATCCCCCTCACTTTCCCTAAACAAAACTGAGAAACTAAGCTGGTAGACTTGTGCTTCTTGTCGTGGAGCTACGAACTACCACGATTACGCCACATTTTACAGTTTTCAGCTAAGATCGAGCAGTACATTTGGTTGATCGAAATTGTATCTTTTTCTTCTGAAACCATTCCCTTTGTAGTAGATTAATAATGTGTAGGTTGTGATGTAGCCGTGGCGTTGCTACGCCCACTCCCACCCGCACTTTGGTGTATTGCACTGGAGCGTGCTTAAATTAAGAGCTTAGCTAAGTAGAAGTGGTTCACTACTGCAGTTTGGTATTATCTTTTTTTAGATCTGAACCATCCCCGCGGAAAATGCGATGTGTTTGTTGGTGGCATGTCCGTTTCTTCTGTGTACAGATGCTTTGTCCGGAAAATGTGGTGGAAGAGGTTTTGTTTTGCCCTCGGCGTGGTTTCCAGCGCAGCCATTTACTGAATTTCATGGTCATTCGATTCAGTAAACCTTAGCTACTAGTACTACCCATACTTGTACGTGCATATTGTGAGGCAACCCGAAGGTTACATAGATTATTTAAGTAATTAATTGGAAAAAATCGTTTATACTAACTACAGAAGTGTATCAATTCTTTGTTGTACACCTCAGTCAGAGAGAGGGAGATAGATCAGTCAAAGACGCTAATACCGTGTTCGACATCTACTGGCAGAGCGGTTTAGTCTAAGACAGTCATGTCGAGTCTAGGGT